GGAACTGTCGGGAAGAACGAAGTTGCTGCAACAAATATGTTTCAATCTTACTCTACTCGTATCGAGTACTGAAGTGGACTCGGGAGGAGTTGTATTACTTCGACGTAAAGACCCGAAAAATGATGCATTGCTATAGGAGTTTGTATCCCAAATCGTCCGTTCCACGGTTGTACTTCCCCCGACAACAGTGTCTACATGATAGAATGGTACTGGATACAACCTGTAAAGTCGTCAGGAGTTCAGATCCCCTTCTCTGCATAGTCCGTGACCATGAGAGAGCAGGACTCGGAGCATTTCTCTTTTGGCAGCTGCCCGAGCAACTGATGAACTCGGTATAGTTTTCGACACTGAACGAGGTGACCACAACTCTGTCACCGAGTTGGAACCCGTTCAGCAAAAAGCTCATATAAAAGCCGCAGAGATAACCTCACTTCTGCGGAAACACAAGGATAAGCCAATGCATGTGGTCTTCTTCAATAACATTGGAGACCTTGCCTTATCAAAGTGCGTGACTTTTGCTTTCCCCAGATCGAATGGGCTGAAGTCGGAAACTGAGGGGTTCATCATGGCTTGCCAGGATGGTGCCTTCAACCCCTCAGTCTACCGCAGTCGCGTGATGGGTATAGAGGTTCCTGACACAAGGTGCAGGGCCTGCCTCGAGGCGCCCGAGATCCTAATTCACTTGGTATCAGCATATCCAGCATATGTGGTCTCGGCCTATATCCATTGACATATCGCGTCCCTAAGAGTGCTATATTACCATCTACGGCATTCTTACGGTATTGACGAGACACCGGTGTTGCCCTACGCTCCGGGGGATATTGAATCCGTTGTTGGGAAGGAGAAGTGCCAAATTTATTGAAACTATGCGTTCCCCACCCTCAGTCTCATACAAGCTAATAAGCCTGATGTAGTCCTTCTCGACCACCAGAGCAAGACGATATTTGTCGTGGAGTTTTCAGCTCCTGGCGAGACGAATATCGTCCGAAAAGAGGAGGAGAAACGTATAAAATATCAAGATTTTTTTTTCGAACTCCGCTGACTCTATCCAGACCACTCTGTCAAGATGGTTTTTCTGATTATTGGAGTCATTGGAGGCATGATTGGTGGATAATCATACCACTAGCCGCACTAATGCAGAAATCTTAGCCGGACACATGCAGAAGGCTGTCATTCTTGGCTCACTGCGCTTGCTCACGGCACATGATTTGTGGACTCAATGATCACTTACCCCACGGCGTGGGGAGTGGTCGTTGGTTGATAATGCTGACGCGCCCTCCCGAATGTATCGGGGCTTCAAGGTATAGGGCCTGACCAGCGCGTACTACGGTAAAAAAATAATAATAATGATTATTTACCAGCAATAGAAGGAATTTACAAATTCATCGTACGCAATTTCGGATAAAATACAAAAAAAAAACAATTTTTTGTTCTAGATTCCGTCTTAGGAATCACACGTTAAAAGGTAAGAACTCGTTAGTCCTAAGCTCGCACAAGTTCTCAACTTTTGAGAGTTGTCGTTTGTATGGGGGCGACAGCTGATTAACGGAAAAACATATTCAGACAGAAAAACAGACAGACAGATAATGGGTAATAAACATTCAGATAACCCAATGAAACCCTAAGGTTGTGCATGGTAATTTTTTACTCATCGTGTTACCAAATAATCTTCGAACAGTATTTCAGTGTGAATATATACAATATTTAAAATATTGTGGACCCCAAAAAAAGTTAATGGTACCTATTGATAAGAGAAACGGAAATTCAGTTTATTTTTTAGTGATGGAAGTAACAGAACTCATTAGGTAAATGCTTAAATCTGGTAAAACAGGTACATTTTGAATAAACAATTATCTCCATTACACGATTACTTCTAGAAAACAGGTAAAATATTTCGATTTTATGTCAAAACTTTATCAGATGAAAAATAATCAATGTACATTAGCTAGATTTAGAAAGCACAAACTAATACAATATTATTTTTAGGAGAACAGTTGATATGTTGTTATATTAATTAATGACATTTTATGAAAGATAGTTTAATAATGGTGAATGGATAACTTCCTGTTGGTTGTTCGAAAAAAAAATTGAATATTTGCACTTATTGATTTCCACAGATTCTAGTAGATTTGATTTCTGTCTTTTATTTTCTGTTTGTAATTTGTGGATTCGTGGATATAATCTAATTGTTCATTTAAAATCTACCTGTAAGTAACATTAACTTGTAAGTAGTTCACGATAACATTTTGTTCGAAAATACTCCAACAGAAATTTCAATAAAACGTCTTTATGAACAAACAAAAAATGCTAACGCTTCTCCTAATTGATAATGTGACAAAGTCACCGAAATGGTTCCGTATATACATTCGCCATACAGAAACAGATTTTAAACAGATTAATTAATGACATTTTATGAAAGATAGTTTAATAATGGTGAATGGATAACTTCCTGTTGGTTGTTCGAAAAAAAAATGAATATTTGCACTTATTGATTTCCACAGATTCTAGTTNACTATCATTTCATTTCAGGTTTATTGTTGCTTAATATAATTGTTATTTTCAGCTATTCATTTTCAATTCTTCTTTTTTAGTTGTTTCAGGGATTTCAAATCATTTTATATAGTAGACAATGGAAGTCCGAACTAGTGGAATTTATCATGAAACATTGACTATAAACCTTGTAATATCAGAGAATCAGTCGATGAAGGTACCATAGAATTCAGAGAGATACAAATAATCATTTGTTTGAACTTGTTACTTTGTTACTTGTCCCGAAAACCCGAAAACATGCATTTTTTGTACCAGTTAAATAAATAACTATAACTTTCGAATGGCAGTGTTCATGATTACAGAACAATAAATCGTTTCGTCTTCCAGTACGCCCATGTTTCTGCTTAAAGCTTTTATCTTCCTATCGCTTTTTAACTCTACGGTGACGGATCATTTGCTACTGAGATATGCCTCTGCATGAATTAATGATTCTCAGCAAATGCTTTTCGAGGATTGAAACGTTATCGTATATTTCTTTATGATATGGTTCAGAATTTCTTTCCTCCTCTGGTTATGGTTATTCTATTGACGACCTTGGATCATTTCTCTCCATTGGAAAAATACGAGTTCGGATCTAAATGAGTGCATTCGCAGATAATATTCCAATATTTGCAATGCTAGAGAGAAGGTGTTATGCTCATTTCCTTCATTTTATTGATCGTAGGTTTTTTTGACGGTACATAAATTGAAATTGGTAGTTCAACCTTGCTATCTCTTGATTTCGTCCAACCACCGTCTTTTCAGTCTGAAACAAATAAACCCAAAAACTACCAAACATATTTTCACCAATATACGCAGTAATTCAAAAGAAAGGTTAATGTGCATAATTCATTAGTGTTTTGTGAATTGGTTGAAATATGACGATATTAGCCGTGACAAGCCAGATGGTGCTACCCGAAGAGCGTTCATCAAAAACGTTGCCTAATCCCTTTGAGATATAACAAAACAATTCCTACATATTGTTTTTCTTTCATAGGTCTACAGAAAAAATTATATGGTGACATATCTTCAAGAATAGTTATATCTATTTCAGTGTTTGAAATAATGGCCTTATGTAATGTGGCAATTCTAAAGCTAAATAGACGGATACGATATCAATCCTTATCTAATTGAATACGTTAGTTACCTTGAGCATTTCGTGCACATTATAATTGTCCTCTACACCACATAATTTAAATTATTATCCGCAAAATTAAAACTATCGCGCGAGAAAATAAATTCATACGGCCTGATAAACCGATGATATACACTTGAAGAAAGGTTTTCGTACTAGTTCTCCTTGACGGTCGAATTTTGAAGTGATAGCTTCTTTTGGGAGGATAAACTGCTTCGTTACCTAACGCATTACAGCGCCAGTTTGTCTGGCTTCCCTTTATCTCACGCATTCTTCAGCGTAGGGCAGGTTCCTCCTCTCTCGTCGGACAAACGCTCAGTATTCAGTATAGAGATATACTATTGACAGTTTTATGAAATCTAACCAGCAAGCACGTAATATTCATTCATTATGTGAACCGTGGCTTGAAAATTATGATACTAATTTTGTGTGTGTACATTATTAGTATCATTATTTATTTCTACAAAAGTAACAATTGGCTTATGGTAGCTATAACATACGCACACGTTTCTTTATTTTGTGTTGTCTTCAGCTAGATAAGTAATTCGCTTATTTTTGGAAACTGAAATTGATGTTTATGAACATATTTTTATTTGAGTGAATTTGATTAAAAGTTTTTATTGTTAGCTATGAGGTGATGCATCCTTACATAGTCAGGAAAGATCCCTAGTAACTATAATTAATTTTTTTGGTATGTCGAGGGTGTTGGGATTAAAATTATTGAGTTGTTACTCGTATCAGCTTCAAATCATGTGAAAGTGCTTCACCAGAATTCTGTGGTTAACCCAACATGATTATTTCTTGCAAATACAAATGATTTGAAACCAGACCCGGCTTCGCACGGGTAGCAGAATACATATGCCTATATTTCTTTCATCATAGTGTCACAACAGCTGGTCCATGAAAAAGGTACCTACCCGTTTACATATTGAATTACCTATATCAGATTATAACAAATATGAAACAGTGTTGAAAGTTTCTCTGCCTTTTTTTATATCAGTCGAAATTGAGGTGGTAGAGCGAAAAAACGGAATTCGACGATTCTATTTTTTGACGACTATTTCAAAAACAACCACTAATATTTTCTATCTGTAGGGAAATTATTCTAATGCCTCCAAATAGGAAACTTTTGTCCAATTTAGGCGACATTGTAAGTTTTACCATTTCCGAGGCGGCCTGTAGTAAGGCCATTTTCGTTATAGGTTCCTTTGTTTCTGGTAGGTGTCCATCGAAATTAATTTTACTCTGAATATTTTAGTTATAATAATACTATCAGTAGAAATGCAGCTTCGAATAATACCTCACAGCCCATTTTGATGCATTACCTTTGTTCCAGCCAAATCCCTCCAAGTCCACTGCATAGTTGAAGCGATCTGTTCCTTAGAAGAAAACCGATCCCATGGAGTATGGAGACGTCGGCCTCTTATAGAAATCGACAAATATGTGATAATTCCAGTAGCAACTCCTTTCCACAACTTGGTGCAGGCAGCTCTGTTCAGGTTAGGCTATTCTACGGAAAGTGCTGCGGCTGCGAAAGGTTCAGTGCTGATCAAAAACTGGAAGGCGCTTACCTTCGATCAAATATCAGATGACCCACTCATAACAGTGGGGGATATATTGGGAGATCTTTCGACTGTGGCGACTCTGCGGATACAAGTCTTCAGGGGAAGACCAGGAGTTCTCAATGAGATCAAAGACAAGTTGCTGAGATTCTTGTTGCTGCAATCACATGGGCTGCTATTATCATCTGGATGTCCCTTAGATGAGGTATGTGAATCAGTTTCTCTTGAAGTAGCTCTTTGATAGAGAGAAAATCATGTATGATCGATATGCTCATCAGATAAATATATGAAATAAATCAGTACTTGACATCTTTTCCATAATGCATCTGATATCAATTTCATTACCGAACTCATTTCTGAAGAGTTTTCTAATCCTCGGTACAGTAAAAATAGATTAATTTATGTTTGAGTATACTGTGAAAGTATTTCTTTATATGTAAAAAGCTGATGAATACGAGTATGTGATAATTAGTTGGTACTGTCATAATGTATTTCGGTGAAATTTTTTGCTTTTCTGCACCTTAAGAATTTGTTAATCGATGAATATAAATAGAGTACGATTGGTAGGAAATTTGAAATAATTCAATGTTATGATTTATGAAACATGATTGCTAAAATATAAATGTGCATGTGATGAAAATCACAGACCAATGTATAATTATATATTTTGTAATCCTACCTGAAAAAAGTATTCAACATAAATAAACAATATTCGGTATTGTGTTTCACGACATTATTATGGAATTGAATAGTTACCAATAGACCTACAAGTTCTTAAATGATATTTAAGTGTGGAATGTATACTTTATTATTTTCTCATTTCAGTTCCGATGTTACTTATTGAAATTGAACTGTTCATTTAGATTCAACTATTCAATTCATTTTTAGCCAAAACAAAAATGTAAGGTTCGTCAATACAATCATACTTACAAATTACATCATGCAGATAAAACAATATTCAATAACACACTCATAAGCACCCACGCACTTTCATATACATCAAGTTTTAACTAGATATATGAATTTCTTAATTATAGATATAGATTTATTAACCAAGACTAATTTTTGGGAAAGAAAGTTTTTGGCTTTCTACTACTCCATCTTGATACAAAATGAGTGGGAATCTTCCAAAGTAAGGAAGGAAGTAATCAATTTTAAAAGAAGTAACTCTATACATGGATGTGTAGATCATGCAAAAAAGTAACTTGCAGACACATTTTTTTGTATCAAGATGGAGTAGTAGAAAGCCAAAAACTTTCTTTGCCAATTTTCACGAAGTTTTGAATTCTTCAATAAAATTCTTTAGTGGACCTTTTTTACATTCCTCGGAGGCAAGCTATAGTAGGAACTTTTCACTCATTATGACGACCGCTTCTGAGATAGATTTCGAGAATTTCTTAGGTGTTTGTTATGAGAATCGTACAATAATAATAAAGTCTCTGTCGATTCAGGAATGACACGTTAGGAATCACACGGTAAAAGCTAAGACCTCGTTAGCCCTTAGCTTCTTGGTTTCGACTTTTGTGAGTTGCCATTCGTAGGGGGGCGACAGCTGGTTAACGGAAAACTAGATTTTTTCAACAGATAAGGAACGGTACTTACCAGTTATATGTCTCATCAGTCATAACAAATTCACTAACTGATTCAAATATATCGCTCTCCAAATTGTTGCTTTGACTTTGAGTTATTCGATAATGCATGTGGATATTACTTTGATGAAAATCAATTGCATTTTTCTTTATTAACTCATATCACCCAGTCATAAAAACTTTTTTGGTGCTATGACAACCTGCCAGCAGCAGGTATATTTCGACAGACATAGTTTTTCAGAACTTGAATATTCTGTTAAATATTATAAAATATGTGTGTTCGTTAACCAGCTGACGCACTACATTGCGATTCCTAGACATGAACTGATAATAAACAAAAAATTGTTTTGTACAGATTATTTTCGAATCTTAAAATATATGCAGTTTAAATGAATCTTTGAGATCTGTTGCTGCAAAAACCCACATATAGGCACGCTGGACACGCGAGCGAATTCTATAACATCATTGATATTAAATAATGGACATACATTATTCGAACAGCACACGGAAAATTTCGAAACATCGTGTCAGTTAATTTCAATTGAAAGAAATTTCTCATTGATACAGTTAAAAAAAACTTGTATTGGATAAATGAAAAAAAGACATTGGATATTATACGTTATTAGCGACCCCCTCAATGGTGAGGTCATTCCAACTCACCTGGAACGCTCAGTTGGAAAAAGTTTCACAGAAAACCAGACTGTCCCTATGGACTGTCCCCTCTCCACATTTTTCTGGAGAGGAAGGCTAGATGGACTGCATTTAGACTTGTGCACATTGCCAAATGCACAAATCAATTTAATGCAGAGTACAATAGACTGTTGGTTGACACTGGAAGTCACAGCATTCTGGAAATGACATCTGACTTCATGCCTCCAACTGTCAACTACGAACTGCCTCATAAAGTACTGTTCCCGAGTAGAAAGGACTGGATCCTCCGGAAGAAGAAAACATTAAGAGCAGATAGTTGTTGGTTCACAGATGGATCAAAAACACTTTCAGGTTCTGATGCAGGTGATTTCAGTCGCAGACCCAGGACAGATATATCAACCTGCCTAGGAACCTATGCGACTGTATTACAAGCGGAAATTTACACTATTGAATTGTGTGCGGAGAGATTGGGAAAATCCAACCTCACACACAAGTCAATAAACATTTTCTTGGACAGTTGACCGACCTCGGAAGCTCTTGGCTACTACCGAGCAACGTATAAATTGGTAGCAAATTGCCAAAAACGACTCTCCTCGATGGGAACACTTAACTGGTCTGGATTCCTGGCCATACTGGCCTGGAAGGCAATGAGGTTGCTGACTCCCTTGCAAAGGAGGGTGCTGCAAGCAGCTTCATTGGACCAGAACCTGTCATTGGCATCGCTTTAGGCTTTGCCAAACAAAGATTGGACACCTGAATGGCAAGACGATTTATGGACTTCTGGCAGAATCTTCCAGGAATGGCTCACTCGCAAGGCGTTTTTTCACCCTTCGAAGCTTGATACCAAACAATTGTTGGAATACAGTAGGGATGAACTACGATGATGAAGGCCTGTTGCCTTCTTACAGGTCACTGTCATATGAATCATCACATGCAGAGACTCGGACTTTCGGAAGACAGTGTGTATCGCCTTTGTTTGGAAAATGATGAAACAGCAACGCACATATTTTGCGCCTGCCCCGCTGGAGACCGAATCAAGTTTTAGAGTTCGACAGAGCCGTCTCTTACCATCTGACGTGAAAGACCACTCACCATACAAACTAATCGGTTTCGTTAAAAAGCTGAGTTTATTTGGTCGAGTGTGAATAGGCGTGAGCCACAATAAACTCTTGCGGGTTGCAGTGGAGGATCGAATAGACCCACTCACTTTGGGCTTACCCTAACCTAACCTACTAGCGACCCGCTCCGGCTCCACGCGGGTGCAATGCTGATACTGAATATACATAAAAACGCGTGCGATCGCTGCTAATCAAAAAGTGCTATAGAACGAATCGCGGCCTTCGACGCGCTGGCGCTGTTTATAGGCAGGCGTGGCCGGGACGCCGGCTGGTACCGCCGCGACCGCTATGTCCCTGCATTTTACATCTGTAATATCTTCGAAAATATTCATTTAAATTACATGCTGTGAAGAGCCATATTGATCTCTATTGAATGCACAATGTATTTAAGGTACTTAATTAGGTAAGGATTAAAGCTGTATTGCTTAAAATCGCTTCGTAAATGAACCATTATCTCTCGAGGATAAAAAATGGTTATTGTGGGTTATCACTGGGAGATAGACATATACCATCGCGGACTTTTTTGTAGACCTTTTTTAGGTGTACAATACTGTAGTACATCTATTGATCTATCTCGTGAGGTTCAGCCAGCGTTTTTCAATGCAAGCGCAAAAAAATGTGTTTATTTACGATATCACATCAGAAACTTCTGAAATTATCAGTATTTCTGATATCACATCAGAAACTTCTGAAATTATCAGTATTTCTCTAATATATTATGCGTGTTATACACATATAAACCTTCCTCTTGAATCACTCTTTCTATTAAAATTTCCGTGGCGTAGTTTTAAAGATTTAAGCATACATAGGGACAGACAGCGGGAAGCAACTTTGTTTGAACATTGTGAGACGAGTTCATGACTTCAAATTTGAACTCATTTCTTCGTTAATACGGTATACTTCATTCTCTCTAGTTTTACGGCGAGACAATTTACAAATAACATATCACATTATTTTCCCCGAAAATTTATTGAACTTCATCCACCCTGTATACAGGAAGGAAGAGACGCAGTTTCTCGCATAATTGCACATCTATCTCAATGCGAAGTCTGGTATTTTCTCCAATAACGTGCATATTGTAAGACGACGTATTATGCCAGTCTCGCCTGGCAAAGGAGTTGGTTATGAGAGGCCCGTCTTAAGAATTAAACGAGAATGAATGTATTAAGGGTGCAGAGAATAGCTGTAACCTTACTTTTAATAAGATTATGTAGCATTATTTCATGGTATTAATGAGATCAAAAGCCTTCTACATCATGCAGCATGGAGTAGATCCGTATACCCCAGCCACATCTCTGATGAGATTCTTCTTCAAAGATGTTAGGAGTGCTACTTTTGTTCGGGATATCAAAGTTTGGATATATTCAACGACTGTTGAGATATCTCTCATTGAAATTCATTGATAATTATTGATATATGATATATTTAAATCTACATTTAAGTGCACATCATAAGTGTTACCCCCCACCCCGCCTTTCTAACTCGTTACTGGACTCTTGTTAGGAAAATCGCCGAGACACATCGATTTTTGATTTCTACAATGTACATTTGAGTATGATCAGCTCACCCCTAATTTCATCCCTTACTGGAGAGGAGCAACCCTTTCCAAAAATTTAAACAGCATGAGGTGGTGAGTGATTTGATTGGAGGTTTCTTCTTCTATTCAAACATGCAAAGGAATTGAAATCTGCTACATTATTTCAAGAGTTATGATTGTTCAAGTATAACAACAATTAAAGCAACCCAATCACCCTTAGAATTAAAAATTCGACCCTGTATGGTTCAGACGTCAACTGAGATGTATTTGTCATTTGCGTAAATATTACCTGAACGTTTTTGTGTTTGAG